AGAAAGCTCTAGTTGTGTGAAGAAAATAATAATATTTTTAGTTTGGGTACAATGTTGTATGACCGCGCAATTGTCATTCAAAATGTGAGAGCGCTGAAACCTGAAAAATGGCCTGGGCAGGATGGGGGTAAAAGTGCCTGGTATGGAAGCGGATAAAGTGAATTTTCGCGTATATTAGCACAGCTTCACCTCATCCACTAAATTATTAAAAGATCTCTTTGAAAAGTGAATTTTCACTTTATTTAGTGAATAAGGTGAAGTGCTGATTTTGATTATTCTGTCATATGTGAGTAAAATGTCTGTTGTGTTAATTTCCTTTGCATATGATTGGGGTTATTTTTCCCAAAAAGAACTTTCGTTTTCTTTCTTCCAATTTTCTAATAACGGCAAAAAATTCACTTTGCAAGGTGAAAATGTTTCTACCCCTTTAGTAAATCAGGGTCAGTGTCTTTACTGAGAGGACAAAGAGAAAAACTGGTAGTTTGAGCAATAGAGGTTTGTTTAGTAATACCCCTCATGTGATCACAATGTCATATCTGACACACTGGAGCTGGGGCGGACTGACCATTTGGAAATTCGGCCACATTTGGAAACTTGGGGTCAGTAGGGGGCCCCATGAGATGCCCCTGGTACCTTTTTCATAGGCTTTTTTGAGTTTGGGCAAGGACACAGGGGCCCCATGATCCCTTATTGCCCAGGGGCCCCATGAGTTGTCAGTCCGCCCCTGGTACCTTTTTCATAGGCTTTTTTGAGTTTGGGCAAGGACACAGGGGTCCCATGATCCCCTATTGCCCGGGGGCCCCATGAGTTGTCAGTCCGCCCCTGCTCTGGAGCCAGATCATTATTAGCATCAGGGAGATGTCAGTCATAGCAAAGTCTCACATTGAAAAGGATAAAAAAAAAAGCACACACTAATATCCTTGAAATTTCGCTCAGAATTGGAAACTCACAGAGGAACTTTAATTTACAAATTGTGGTCATGAATCAGTTGAAGAAATCGCTTCTTTAAAGTCACCATCCAAAGCTCCTATATTTTTATCTTTACAAGTCTGCTATAAATGTGGATTTTATGGCAATACCCAATACAGCTTCCTACAGCATTTACCAGACAGGAAATCATGTTAATTTTCAATGGTCAAACACAGCTGCAGACACACAGGTTATAATCATTGCTACATAAATACACACTAGGCAAGAGTATGCCTCACTGCCAGAAAAAGAGTGTAAGAACATAAGGGTCATTAGTGGCTACTGGTTTGCAGCACCATTTAATCAGAGTGCATCATAAGCCCCCAGCCTGTACTAATCTGAATTTAGAGTATAATTGAGATGATTGCAGGCCAGCCATTGAACATTAATGCACTTTAATTAGAAAGTATAAAGTATAATTGCACAAATTAAATTTATACTCACCATTTTTGCTGAAAGTGTAGCCCAAGCCTTTACATTTAGGTTTATCGTATTTATCTAGCTGGAAGACGGGTCTTTTCTTGTCTATAATGTCTTTTTCAGTGCAGACATTTCTTGTTTCCAATAGTAAACCACTCCAAACAGTTTATAGTGCTTTTCTTTCTTTTACTCCTTGAATTTACTTGTAATTTATAGAATGGGTTAATACCTGTATCTTCTTGAAAAAAGACAGTTAAAGAGGAACTTTAGTCCGAAGCAAAGGTTTTCCCCTTATCACATCATTATGTAGTGATCAGGTGCTGTCAACTTCCCTGATTCAAGATTTCAAAGAAGTAGGATCAGCAAGTTTCAGAAGGAGAACTGTGTATGTGTAACCCAGTGTTTCTCAACTCCAGTCCTCATGGACCCCCAACAGGTCATGTTTTCAGGATTTCCCTCAGATGAAACAGCTGTGGTAATTACTAAGGCAGTGAAACTGATCAAATCACCTGTGCAAAATAATGGAAATCCTGAAAACATGACCTGTTGGGGGTCCATGAGGACTGGAGTTGAGAAACACTGGTGTAAACCAATAGAGTGGTCTTAGCATAGCATAGATGAGAGTGCAGCCCATTCTGTCAAGGTGATGCCTTTTGGCAATGCTACAGATACTGCTGCCCTTGGATATGATCATCACTACTGAAATACAGTAATTACAGTGCCTCTTACTTTACTAGTGGCACCCTGGTGGTAGTATCATGTCATCATTTCTGCTTCAGACAGTAGTTTTTACACTGGTCCAGGGACGGACTGACCATTTGGAAACTCGGGCACTGCCCGAGGGCCCGGGGTCAGTAGGGGGCCCCATGAGATGCCCCTGGTACCTTTTTCCATAGGCTTTTTTGAGTTTGGGCAAGGACACAGGGGCCCCATGATCCCCTAATGCCCGGGGGCCCCATGAGTTGTCAATCCGCCCCTGCACTGAGTCAACATGCAATGGGAGAGAATTTGAATCTCTTGCAACCAGATGAAACGATCAAAGATGGACCAAGTTTTAGCGTGCACAAGATGCAATTTGCCCTTATTGAAAAAAAGGAGGCATATGGCGTCCCTGGCTGGATACAGCCCAACCTTCGAGCTTTGACCAGTCCCTTCTGTCGATATGAGGATCGATTCTTTTGCGGTTGCCCCGGAGCCCTTTTGTGATTGTTTTTTGTCTTTGTTTTTTTATGTTTTGCTTTTGTCCTCGTCTTCCCATCGACTGTCTTTCTCTATCCTTCTGTCCAATCTGTTCTTATGCCAATTGTAATGATTGTGTTCTTTTCCCTGAGTGCTACATCTGCAATACTACCGAGGCAACCTGGACTCAAATGAGAGCCCAATGTCTGGAATATATATTAACCTCCGGAGAAGCTTCACTTCATGCCTCCCCTGTCTTCTGTGCGCTTTTATAGCAAAAATTTCTCTTAGAGTTTGCATTGTCATTGACCTCCAAATGTTTTGCTCACCGTTTCCCCCTTTCTCCCCCCCTTTTTTTTTTTTTCCCCCTTCCCTGGCACTTAAATATTCAGTTTATGTTTATGCTTCGACCAGTACATGCTCTGTAATATTTCTCAAGCGCCCTGTATGTCCCATATTTGTTGGTCAATGTATATGTTTCTGGAATGTTGTTTCATCTCTGCTTATTCTATAATAAAACCCTTTGTAAAAGAAGCAAAGCAGTTGGAATTAGCAAGTGTATTGAGAATATTAATACAAGATGGCTTTTGAGTTCTCAGTTGATTTGTTGTAGAGAGCTACAGATCTGCTTTAAGTACAGAGAGTTCATGGAGTGCAGGATTCAGGAGTGCGTGATTCAGATTGCAGGGTTCAGGAGTGCGTGATTCAGAGTGCAGGGTTCAGGAGTGCGTGATTCAGAGTGCAGGATTCAGAGAGCGTGATTCAGAGTGCAGGATTCAGGAGTGCGTGATTCAGAGTGCAGGGTTCAGGAGTGCGTGATTCAGAGTGCAGGGTTCAGGAGTGCGTGATTCAGAGTGCAGGGTTCAGGGGTGCGTGATTCAGAGTGCAGGGTTCAGGAGTGCGTGATTCAGAGTGCAGGGTTCAGGAGTGCGTGATTCAGAGTGCAGGGTTCAGGAGTGCGTGATTCAGAGTGCAGGGTTCAGGAGTGCGTGATTCAGAGTGCAGGATTCAGGAGTGCGTGATTCAGAGTGCAGGGTTCAGGAGTGCGTGATTCAGAGTGCAGGGTTCAGGAGTGCGTGATTCAGAGTGCAGGGTTCAGGAGTGCGTGATTCAGAGTGCAGGGTTCAGGAGTGCGTGATTCAGAGTGCAGGGTTCAGGAGTGCGTGATGCGCAGAGTTCAGGGTACAAGAGTGCATGATGCACAAAGTGTAGGGTTCAGGAATGCATAATGAACAGAGCATAATGCACAGAGCAGAGGGGTCAGGAATAAGTAACAGAGTGCAGAGGCGAGGGGTATATTACACTCAGGGAGCAGGGGTAGGCAGTAAGTAATGCATAGTTCAGGGGGCAGGAGTGCATAACACACAGATTGCAGAGGTCAAGGGTATGTAATGTGCAGGATGCAGAGATTAGTAGGTAGTAGGTAACTAGGTAGTAGGGAGTAGGTAATACACAGAGTGCAGATGTCAGGAGTAACTAACATACAAGGTGAAAAGGTCATGAGTAAGTAATGCACAGAGTACAGGGGTCAGGAGTGTATAGGAGTGCATAATGCACAGAGTGCAGAAGTCAGGTGTAAGTATTGCACATGTAGGGAGATGCAGACTGTTTTCTCCTTTGCAGGTGTCACTCGATCTGAGTGGTTGGCAATGCTGCAGCTCTGTGACCTTTGGCGGCCACCTTGAGTAATCAGGGTGTAAATAGGTCACTGCCCCTGGATTTTTGGTGCTCATTTTTCCAGTGGCTAGTGTAGGGAGAGAGACCCCGCTTGTTATGGAAAGTAACTAGCTGTAGAAAAAGGTTCCAGATGAGAAGGAACAGGCTAGGGACTCGCTATCCTGGCAAAGGAGCCTCCCCTCTTGAAACGGTCTGGCCAGGCTGCACTTCACCCTCTGAAGCAGACACTGTTGGCATCTCTCCTCAGCCACGTCTTTGACTGCATTGAACTATGAGTTATTTCCCTAAGCGGCACTCTCCTGCTAGGGTGTTTGTAACGTTGGCATTGTGCTTAATACAAATTTTAAATTTTACTGCAACCCCCCTCTACTCAATACAATACCCCCCCCAAAGTGTACTCTCCCAATCATGGCATGGGGTTACGTCTGTGGAGGAAAGTTCTCTGAAAACTCCGTGACTCTAAAAAGAAAACAAAGACATGGCAAAATGTCACATCTGTCTTTGAATCTTTTAGCTCAGTACCAAACTTGTATATTTCCATTAGGAGTCTTGTGTACAATACCTTAAAAAAAAAGCATGGCTTTGAATGTGCTATATCGCATATTGAATTTGAGTGTTTTCAACTTTTATGCACTCAACCCTTTTAGGGGTGTTTTGGTAGAGCACATCACAGTGGTAACATAACCAATTTTACCATTAAAACAGTCATTTTCAATTACATTTGAATGAAAATCATTTTCTCTTACATGTTTCAGGTCTTGTGACAGACTACAGGGTAAGTTTTTATGCTTCAGATTTGTCTTCTACAGCAATTAATGTACAAGTTATATTGTCAAAGCTGAAAAAAGATTTTTGGTCACTTTATTTGTTTTCTCTATTAATGCAATTTTTTTTTCTTATACTAAAGATGTTTTCAAAAATGATCCACCTATTAATTATGCAGATGACAACCATGTATGGTCTTCTTGTTTAGTAGTGCTTTCTGCCTCTCTAACCAACACAATGATTCCATTTTTTTCTTTTCTCTTAATAATTGCCAAATACTAACCTTTGAGGTCCCTTGGATAATTTCACAGCGTATGCTTTACTAATTACTTTAATTGGCATTACACACTAATAGATATAAACCTTTTTCTGATCCCTTTGGAAATTTTCTTTGATTGTTGCATCATGTTCTTGCTAAGATGTCCACAGACATTACAACTACATAGTATACAGTTGCAAGAAAAAGTATGTGAACCCCTTGGGATTACGTGGAGTTTTGCATGAATTGGGCATAAAATGTGCTCTGAACGTCATCTAAGTCACAACAATAGAAGAACACAGTCTGCTGAACATAATACTACACAAACATTAGATGTTGCCATGGTTTAATTGCACATAACATGTAAACATTCACAGTGCAGGGAGGAAAAAGTATGTGAGGCCCTAGCTTAATGACTTCTCCCAGAGCTAATTGGAGCCAGGAGTGAGCCAACCTTGACTCCAATCAGTGTGATGATATTGGATGTGTTGCTGACAGCTGTCCTGCCCTTAAAATACACACACCTGTTTTGGGTTTACTGGTTTCAAGAAGCACTGTCTGATGTGAACCATGCCTCGCAGAAAAGAGCTCTCAGAAGACCTACGATCAAGAATTGTTGACTTGCATGAAGCTGGAAAGGGTTACAAAAGTATCTCCAAAAGCCTTGATGTTCACATACTTTTTCTTGCAACTGTAAGTGGCCTACCTAAACTATCCATTCAAATTGTATTTAATTAGATAGACACTCCCATTGCATAGTGGAAAATCAACATTGCACAATTGGCTTGTAAGGTGTGCAGCCAGCTGTAGATTATTGTGCTAGCAACTCAACTCTGAACATAAAGGCAACAAAAAGTGAGCCTTTTACTAAACAGAACTGGCTTTAATCAACCCTGGCTATATTTATTCAAATACATTTAAATATCCCTTTTAACTGGGTTCAGTTAACAAGAGACAATTTTTTACTGTGCTGTGCCCAAAAAGTAATGGCCTTATTAAAGGCAGCACGGTGGCTACAGGGCTGCTCCATTATAAGACAGCACAACATCTTAGTGGTTAGCACTTCTGTCTTGAAGCACTGGGGTCCTTGTCTGAAATTCTGACCAGAGCACCATCTGCATGGAGTTTGCATGTTGTCCCTATTCTTGTGTGGATTTCCTCCCACACTCCAAAACCATGTTGGTAGGTTAACTGGTCGCTATCTAATTTATCACTATTATGCAAGTGCATGTATGTATGTATGTATGTATGTGTGTTAGTGACCTTAGGTTGAAGCTTGTTGAGGGCAGGAATTGTTGTGGTATACAGTATGTAGTGTACTACTTAAATTGTCATCTGTATAAATAACAAATGCCTGTAATAAATAAAGGCAGTGCAGTGTGTCACAGGGGCATATCTACCGTGAGGCAAACAAGGCGTTTGCCTAGGGCGGCAATTTTTAGGGGGGCGGCACCTCCCCCCAGAGAGGGACCTTTTGGGCAGCGGCGGACAGAGCCATGCGGGGGCATCAGCAGAGGGGTCGCACCGGTACCCTTGCAGTGGCCCAGTCAGCAGGAAGATCGATGCGGAGGGAGGGCAGTTGCAGAGCGATGCTCCTGTACCTCTCCCTCCAGCAGCTGATGAGCCAGGACCAGAGGAAAGCCTGGAGCAGGGAGAGAAGAGAACACGGAGGAGGTGAGCTGTGCTGTGTTCTGTGGGATCTCCCTACCCCCATCCCTACACTGACAGATCGTATGGGGCTGCACACACCTCTCAACCCCCCTCCTTCCTGCTGCCCAGAGATCAGCAGCCCTTGGAGAAGGTGTGTGTGTGCAGCCCCATACGATCTGAGAAGGGAAGAGATAGAGGAGCGAGAGAGAGGGAAGATAGAGAAAGGAGAGAGGGGGAAGAGAAAGGGGGAAGATGTGAGAGAGGGGAGAAGAGAGAGAGGGGGAGGGAGAGGGGGGGGGAGGGGGGGGGGGAAAGTGAGAGAGAGGAGGGGGAAGAAAGCGTGAGATAGGGGGAAGAGAAAGGGGAGAGAGGGGGGGGAGAGAGAGAGGAGAAGAGGGGGGGGGAGAAAGCGTGAGATAGGGGGAAGAGAAAGGGGAGAGAGAGAGAGAGAGAGAGAGGAGGGGGAAGAAAGCGTGAGATAGGGGGAAGAGAAAAGGGGAGAGAGGGGGGAGAGAGAGAGGAGGGGGAAGAAAGCGTGAGATAGGGGGAAGAGAAAGGGGAGAGAGGGGGGAGAGAGAGAGGGGGGGAAGAAAGCGTGAGATAGGGGGAAGGAGAAAGGGGAGAGAGGGGGGGGAGAGAGAGAGGAGGGGGAAGAAAGCGTGAGATAGGGGGAAGAGAAAGGGGAGAGGAGGGGGGGGGAGAGAGAGGAGGGGGAAGAAAGCGTGAGATAGGGGGGAAGAGAAAGGGGAGAGAGGGGGGGGGGAGAGAGAGAGGAGGGGGGGTAAGAAAGCGTGAGATAGGGGGAAGAGAAAGGGGGGGAGAGAAAGGGGAGAGAGAGGGGGGAGAGAGAGAGAGGAGGGGGAAGAAAGCGTGAGATAGGGGGAAGAGAAAGGGGAGAGAGGGGGGGGAGAGAGAGAGAGAGGAGGGGGGGAAGAAAGCGTGAGATAGGGGGAAGAGAAAGGGGGAAGAGTGAGAGAGGGGAGAAGAGAGAGAGGGGGAGGGAGAGGGGGGGGAGGGGGAAGAAAGAGAGAGAGAGAGAGGGGGGGAGAGAGAGAGGGAGGGGGAAGAAAGAGAGAGAGAGGGGGAAGAAAGAGAGAGAGAGGGGGAAAGAAAGAAAGAGCCAGAGAGAGAAGGGGGGAAGAGAGGGAGAATCATATTATATATATATATACACACACACACACTTATGTTGCTCTCTCTTTGGGGGGGCGCTACATTTATGTGTTGCCTAGGGCAGCACAAACTCTAAATACACCACTGCAATGTGTATCTCCGGTGGTTCATAGCCAGTAACCAACACTATGATAAAGTATTTCGTTCTGTTCTTGCCACGGGAGGAAAAGCACTGGAGTGGACATTTTCTCTGTGTTCATTTCCTGTTACTAAATTCATTTTGACTTCAGTTGTAAAGAATGATCTTTGGAACGTCGTTTACTAATGTCAGCTTTCTTTCCCAACAGCACTGGCAAATCCCACTTGGAAGGCGATTTCGTTCTTTAAAACTGTGGTTTGTATTAAGAATGTATGGTGTGAAAGGACTTCAGGAATATATCCGTAAGGTAAATGGAACTGCGCATAAAGATGCATATAGCATGTAATACTGACAGTCAAAGCACAAAACAATGTTCATCAAGTACTTTTTGTTTTTTTTTTGTTTATGTATTTTTATTACATAATAAACCATTGCAGGATCCTTGTGTAGCACATTGCCAGGCTGCATGGAGAGGCTTGTCCATGTTCTTGGAGCAAAGCACATGCAATTTATTATAGATATGCTTACATATGGAAGCTAGTCGCATGTACAGGATGTGTTGCAGCTCCTCTGTAAGACTTGCATGCTAGTACTATAAAACACATTGTACAGTTCCATTCAAATGAATAATGTAAATATTTTGTGTTCACAAAAAATGGAATGGCTGCCAATCCACTGAATTTAAAATAATATCGCTTGACACCTGCCGAATGATATCTCCCAGTCGCAGCCACCATAATGAAGGTAAAGGGGAAGGAGACCCCTGGGTGACATCATCAACCATATATTGGGGTGATGAGATTTCTTCTTTCAGCATGTCAGTGACCATTGGGCAGCGTGATTGACGTAGATCTGAATCACTGGACAATGTGAATGACGGTGGATTTACATCATGGGACTTGTTAATACCTGTGTTTATCTACTACTGACATTTTCTTTGTGAATTAGTAGGGCTTTGTAACCCTTACTCATTCACATAGGGTGCCCCTTATTTTTAAACGGGCTTCGGGCTTCGAGATTTCAATAAGTCCTCTGACTGTGTGTGTGTGTATATATGTGTATATATATATGTGTATGTATGTGTATATATTGTGTGTGTGTATTATATATTTATATTTATGTATGTGTGTATTTATGTGTGTATGTGTATATGTTTGTATATACAGTGGGGATCGAAAGTTTGGGCACCACCCGGCATCAAATTACAGATTAGACATTCTTATAATATATCAACAAAAGTTAGATTTTTATTTCCATCATTTACACTTTCAAAATAACAGAAAACAAAAAAATGGCGTCTGCAAAAGTTTGGGCACCCTGCAGAATTTATAGCATGCACTGCCCCCTTTGCCAAGCTGAGACCTGCCAGTGTCATGGATTGTTCTCAGTCATTGTCTGGGAAGATTAGGTGATGTCAATCTCAAATATTTTTTAAATGCCCAGACTCATCTGACTTGCCCCAACAATCAGCACCATGGGTTCTTCTAAGCAGTTGTCTAGAAAACTGAAACTGAAAATAGTTGACCCTCACAAAGCTGGAGAAGGCTATAAGAAGATAGCAAAGCGTTTTCAGATGTCAATATCCTCTGTTCGGAATGTAATTAAGAAATGGCAGTCATCAGGAACAGTGGAAGTTAAAGCAAGATCTGGAAGACCAAGAAAAATATCAGACAGAACAGCTCGCAGGATTGTGAGAAAAATAATTCAAAAACCCACGTTTGACTGCACGATCCCTCCAGAAAGATCTGGCAGACACTGGAGTTGTGGTACACTATTCCACTATAAAGAGATTACTTGTACAAATATGGTCTTCATGGTAAGAGTCATCAGAAGAAAACCTCTTCTACGTCCTCACCACAAAAATCATCGTTTGAACTTTGCAAATGAACATATAGACAAGCCTGATGCATTTTTTGGAAACAAGTTCTGTGGACTGATGAGGTTAAAATTGAACTTTTTGGCCGGAATGAGCAAAGGTACGTTTGGAGAAGAAGGGGCACAGAAAATTTAATGAAAAGAACCTCTGTCCAACTGTTAAGCATGGGGTTGGATCAATTCATGCTTTGGGGTTGTGTTGCAGCCAGTGGCACAGGGAACATCTCACGAGTAGAAGGAAAAATGGATTCAATAAAATTTCAGCAGCAAATTTTGGATGGTAACTTGATGCCATCTGTGAAAAAGCTGAAGTTAAAGAGAAGATGGCTTCTACAAATGGATAATGATCCTAAACACACCTCGAAATCCATGGGGGGATTACATCAAGAGGCGTAAACTGAAGGTTTTGCCATGGCCTTCACAATCTCCTGACCTCAACATAATTGAAAATCTATGGATAGACCTTAAAAGAGCAGTGCGTGACAGACAGCCCAGATAATCTCAAAGAACTGGAAGACTTTTGTGTAAGGAAGAATGGGCAAAGATGCCTCAAACAAGAATTGAAAGACTCTTGGCTGGCTACAAAAAGCGTTTACAAGCTGTGATACTTGCCAAAGGGGGCAGTACAAGCTATTAACTCTGCAGGGTGCCCAAACTTTTGCAAACGCCATTTTTTTGTTTTCTGTTATTTTGAAAGTGTAAATGATGGAAATAAAATCTAACTTTTGTTGACATATTATAAGAATGTCTAATCTGTAATTTGATGCCTTTTGGAGATTTTTCCATCTTTCCTTGGCTTCTTTATGCACATTAATACATATTTTTAGCTGGGGTGCCCAAACTTTCGATCCCCACTGTATATAATATATATATATATGTGTGTGTGTATATATACAGTCAGGTCCATAAATATTGGGACATCGACACAATTCTAACATTTTTGGCTCTATACACCACCACAATGGATTTGAAATGAAACGAACAAGATGTGCTTTAACTGCAGACTGTCAGCTTTAATTTGAGGGTATTTACATCCAAATCAGGTGAACGGTGTAGGAATTACAACAGTTTTCATATGTGCCTCCCACTTGTTAAGGGACCAAACGTAATGGGACAATTGGCTTCTCAGCTGTTCCATGGCCAGGTGTGTGTTATTCCCTCATTATCCCAATTACAATGAGCAGATAAAAGGTCCAGAGTTCATTTCAAGTGTGCTATTTGCATTTGGAATCTGTTGCTGTCAACTCTCAAGATGAGATCCAAAGAGCTGTCACTATCAGTGAAGCAAGCCATCATTAGGCTGAAGAAACAAAACAAACCCATCAGAGAGATAGCAAAAACATTAGGCGTGGCCAAAACAACTGTTTGGAACATTCTTAAAAAGAAGGAACACACCGGTGAGCTCAGCAACACCAAAAGACCACGGAAAAACAACTGTGGTGGATGACCGAAGAATTCTTTCCCTGGTGAAGAAAACACCCTTCACAACAGTTGGCCAGATCAAGAACACTCTCCAGGAGGTAGGTGTATGTGTGTCAAAGTCACCAATCAAGAGAAGACTTCACCAGAGTGAATACAGAGGGTTCAGCACAAGATGGAAACCATTGGTGAGCCTCAAAAACAGGAAGGCCAGATTAGAGTTTGCCAAACGACATGTAAAAAAGCCTTCACAGTTCTGGAACAACATCCTATGGACAGATGAGACCGACATCAACTTGTACCAGAGTGATGGGAAGAGAAGAGTATGGAGAAGGAAAGGAACTGCTCACGATCCTAAGATACCACCTCATCAGTGAAGCATGGTGGTGGTAGTGTCATGGCGTGGGCATGTATGGCTGCCAATGGAACTGCTTCTCTTGTATTTATTGATGACAAAAGCAGCAGGATGAATTCTGAAGTGTTTCGGGAATATTATCTGCTCATATTCAGCCAAATGCTTCACAACTCATTGGACGCTTCACAGTGCAGATGGACAATGACCCAAAGCAGACTGCAAAAGCAACCAAAGAGTTTTTTAAGGGAAAGAAGTGGAATGTTCTGCAATGGCCAAGTCAGTCACCTGACCTGAATCCGATTGAGCATGCATTTCACTTGCTGAAGACAAAACTGAAGGGAAAATGCCCCAAGAACAAGCAGGAACTGAAGACAGTCGCAGTAGAGGCCTGGCAGAGCATCACCAGGGATGAAACCCAGCGTCTGGTGATATCTATGCGTTCCAGACTTCAGGCTGTCATTGACTGCAAAGGATTTGCAACCAAGTATTAAAAAGTGAAAGTTTGATTTATGATTATTATTCTGTCCCATTACTTTTGGTCCCTTAACAAGTGGGAGGCACAATATGCAAACTGTTGTAATTCCTACACCGTTCACCTGATTTAGATGTAAATACCAATATCAAATATCAAATTAAAGCTGACAGTCTGCAGTTAAAGCACAACTTGTTTGTTTCATTTCAAATCCATTGTGGTGGTGTATAGAGCCAAAAATGTTAGAATTGTGCCGATGTCCCAATATTTATGCACCTGACTGTATATATATATATATATATATATATATATATATATGTGTGTGTGTGTGTATATATATATATATATATATATGTGTGTGTGTGTGTGTATATATATAGAATATGGCCAACACTGTAGCATTTCAAATATGTGGCAATATATTTGGGAAGAATATTTTTAAAATATATTTAAAATATATTTTTCTTCCATATGGCTTGTTCTTATCAACAAGGGGATAGGTGCTTTGCCGGAGTGTCCTTTGGGCTTGTGGCCTAATACGGTTCAGGAGGGGGGGGCACACATTCACTCTCACGGCATGCTCCATAAATTTTTTTGGGGGGGGACTTTTTTTTTAAACAATCTCAGCTTTTGTTTGCATTTGTCTGTCAGCCAGGATTCCCCTAAAAAGCACGAGCCCTGTGGAGGAAGCTGTCATGTTTAATAGTAGCAGTAATACAGCTGCTAAATGTTTGACCGCAGCTGCATATCCATTCTGCCGAACACCCATTCATTCGGCCTTTCGCCCTGGAATCTTCGTATACCCTGTACACGGCGCAGAGGTCTCCTTCATAATATTTCCCTTCTGGTGTAATATTCTTAGTCTATAGTATTAAACAGTTTTCTCTGTTGGTAGATTTCTTCAATTCTAATGATCAAATGTGCTCATGGCTGTTCACCCTTAGGATTGAATGATAAGAGATTTTACATTCACCCGGCGAAAGGCAATATGAAAATGACATTACACACATTACAAACATTACTGGTATTATTTCTTACTTTTGAAAGAATGATGAGACACTCACAATACATTTTTTTTTTTAAAAAAAGGACCCCTAAGGCTGGCCATAGATGAGTCTTTATTAATGTAATACCCCCATCCACACATTAGAGGCAGTGGTGGACTGACAATTTGGAATCTCGGGCACTGCCCAAGGGCCCGGGGTCAGTAGGGGGCCCCATGAGATGCCCCTGGTACCTTTTTTCATAGGCTTTTTTGAGTTTAGGCAAGGACACAGGGGCCCCATGATCCCCTATTGCCCGGGGGCCCCATGCGTTGTCAGTCCGCCCCTGGTTGGAACTGAGCGCCTGCTTTTTTGAGTTTGGGCAAGGACACAGGGGCCCCATGATCCCCTATTGCCCGGGGGCCCCATGAGTTGTCAGTCCGCCCCTGGTAGGGAGACCTCCCTGCTATCAGAATACACTGATAAGCGCTGTAGACTATAGCCGGCGACGCTAATCTACCTGCAAAAATCTGACAGGTCAGTTGTACCGAAGCTGTTTGGTAGATCAACTTCCGTACAATCACACTGCCCATATATGAATCGAAATTCGTCTAGTCCCTTCTGAACCAGCTAAATTAAGGGTTGCCACACATGTTACAATCCTGCCAAGCAGTCTTTGTACAATCAACGTTAGATTAACCAAAACTGTGCTATATGGGGTCCAGCCTAATCTATTTAATAATTTTGTATCCAAGCATGCAGACCCTTGTATTACATTATTGTTGATAGATCTAAAGATCTAAAGGAAATTAAACAAGATTGCAACATGTGTGATGAGCATATAAAAAAAAAAAAAAAAAAAAAAAAATTCCCCCTAATTATTTCTTACTGTTAAGCTGCAACCTGTTTGCTGTAAGCAATAACAAGTACGTTCAATGCTAGTAAGTGCTCATTACTGCACATGGATCATGGTCTAAGTGCTAAACTGTACATTAGAAGTGGCTTAGTGGTTAGCACGTCTGCCTTGCAGTAAATGGGTCATGGGTTAAATTCCTGACCATGGCGCCTCCTGCATGGAGTTTGCATGTTCTCCCTGTTCTTGCGTGGGTTTCCTCCAGGTACTCTGGTTTCCTCCCACACTCCAAAAGACATGCTGGTAGATTAATTGGATCCTGTCTAAATTGTCCCTAGTGTATAAATGTGAGTTAGGGACCTTAGATTGTACGCCCCTTGAGGGTTAGGAACTGATGTGAATGTACAATATATAAAAGCGCTGCATAAATGGACGCCGCTATATAAGTACCTGAAATAAATAAATAAATTAGCACTAGGGTTGTTGGTTCAAATCCCAGCCACGGCACCACTTACCTGGAGTTTGCATGTTCTCCCTGTGCCTGCGTGGGTTTCCTCCCACATTCCAAAGACATGCTGGTAGGTAAATTGGTTCCTGTCTAAATTGTCCCTAGTATGTGTATGTATGAATGTGAGTTAGGGACCTTAGATTGTACGCCCCTTGAGGGTTAGGGACTGATGTGAATGTGCAATATATATGTAAATGGACAGCGCTATATAAGTACCTGAAATAAATTAGCACTAGGGTTGTTGGTTCAAATCCCAGCCACGGCACCACTTGCCTGGAGTTTGCATGTTCTCCCTGTGCCTGCATTGGTTTCCTCTGGGTGCTCCGGTTTCCTCCCACATTCCAAAGACATGCTGGTAGGTGAATTGGTTCCTGCCTATATTGGCCCTAGTATGTGTATGTATGAATGTAAGTTAGATTGTACACCCCTTGAGGGTTAGGGACTGATGTGAATGTACAATATATATGTAAATTGACGGCGCTCTATAAATACCTAAAATTAAATAATGACCTAGCTGTCACACTTTTTGTTTTGTTTCTCAGTGCTTACAAATCCTGAGCTGTTTTCAGGTTACACAAAAAGTAAAAACTAAAATGTAAGCAATAAACAAAACTCTGTTAGGGGATTAAGGTCAGACGTGGTCTGTCATTCGTATGCAAATATTTTAAAATAAGAACTAAAGTTGCTATGAAACATTTTTTTAAGCAGTGACTTTGTAGTTCAAATCTTTTTCTAGGTATGTGCTTCCCTCTAGTGTTTAAGTGGAAAGCTGCAGGCAATTCATGTTTAAAACCAAACGCACAATAGGCCTGTCATGTTACACAGTAATTGTGGTCATCCAAGTGATGGGATGCCCAGCAGCACACCATGTGCACACAGCATCAAATCAGAGAAGATAAACTATTCTTCTCATCAGTATGCATTAGTATAGCAGATTATAATCCGCTGAATGGTGAACACATGTATTGTTAGACAAACAACGTCTATTTTTACCCGAAAATTCTGTCTAACGCTGTGTATGAAAGCCTATTTTTAACAGAGCAAACAATCGAATTGAATTGAGTTATGGGCATGCTTACAGGATGTGAGCATCAGCTTGCGTCACTAATAATTGGGCCTGGAGTCAGGGGCGGACTGACCATTTGGAAACTCGGGCACTGCCTGAGGGCCCGGGGTCAGTAGGGGGCCCCATGAGATGCCCCTGGTACCTTTTTCCTGGAGGGGAATGCACCTGGAGGGAATGTGAATGGACTATGAGTTGTGCTGATCAGGTGGATCCCAGAAGAGGAGGATCGGGGCTGCTCTATACAAAACCATTGCACAGAGTAGGTAAGTATAGAGAATGGTATTAGAATAAAGCCGGCATCACATGGATTCAAATTTGGCTGGTTCAGCAGGAACTGGCTGAATTTCGATCCATGAATGGGCACCCTGGTTGTACAGAAGCAGGGACGGACTGACCATTTGGAAACTCAGGCACTGCCCAAGGGCCCGGGGGTCAGTAGGGGGCCCCATGAGATGCCCCTGGTACCTTTTTCATAGGCTTTTTTGAGTTTGGGCAAGGACACAGTGGCCCCATGATCCCCTATTGACCGGGGGCCCCATGAGTTGTCAGTCCGCCCCTGCCTAGAGTAACACATTTCCCACTTCTATTTCTCCTCCAGAATTGAACCTAAGCTTTTCATCTAAATAAAAAAGTAGGAATATGAGCGCTATCAAGAATGTATAGTAGCGGCTAGAACACAAAAAGGTAACCAAACAACACCTTCAATAAACATACGAAGCAAGAAAGTGCAGCGCTAAAATCAAATCAAATAAATGCAAAGTTCCTGTTACTGATAGCAACAATAATATGATGAAAGTCCCAAAGATGACAGAAAGTCCACATGAGGAACAAATGTGATCGTGAAGTATAAACATGGGGGACTTGATCTGAAGTGGTAACACAAAAGTAAATGGATTGCGCACTCACCAGAGGTACGTAAATAATACGCCTTAGAGATATGCCTGTCTCATCAGGTGTGTGCGGAGTCATCAGTAGGGTCAGGATCCTCTATGCATACGGGTCACGTCTCAGGTATGACACTCAGGTGTATAGCACGTTGGAAGGTCCCTTAAGGTGCAGCTTCTGCAGGTGAAGGCTCTCAGTGAAGAGAGCACAATAAGGGACACCACATAGCGTGATACCATAGGAACAATTTTATTCACAAATAGGTGCATACAAAATGTGTGCATAGGAAGGAAAAATCACTGACCATATAAAATTCAGGATGGGCACCAGCGGTGGTAAACGTCCAGCTACTGTAGTGGTGTCTCTTCACTGAGAGCCTTCACCTGCAGAAGCACCCTGCTTGTGCGCGCTCCCCGGGAGCACGCAGCACACGCGAACTGGTGCCTGTTGTGTCCTCCGGACACAGTGAAACACCGATCGTCGGACGGGACCTCTGTACAAGGTCTTGATCATGTGATCACTGATTGGCCTATCAGTGATCACATGCAAAGTAGTAAGCAAGATGTCACTTGTGACATCATTGCTTACTACGTGTGAAATCTGTGAATGATCACAGAGGTCACATGGTACAAGGCTATTCACAACAGCCTTGTACCATGTGACAAGCTGTGACCAATCACAGCTCACTCAGTACTTCTCAATGACTGCAAGAATGCAGACAGAGAGAAAGAGAAATGATTGCTTTTACATCCTATATGGGTGTAAAAGCAATCAGTGTAAGAAAAAAAAAAAAATCTTCATCACTTCCCACAAGTAGTACAGTGTCACCATGGTGACACTGTACTGCTAGGGTGACAGTATGTAAAAAAAAAAAAAATAAATAAAAAAAATAATAATATAAAAAAATAAAAATGTAAAAAAAAAGTTTAAAAATTATAATTTTTGGTTATAAACTAATTTGTTTTTGTTTTTTTACTAAAAAGATAACAAAATAAATTTTGGCAAAGATTTATGATGAAATATTATTTATTTGCAAAATTTTATTTAAAAAAACACTTTTGTTCAAAATTTTTGGACTTTTTCATTTACATAGCAAAAAAAATAAAAATCCCAGCGGTTAATAAATACCACCAAAATAAAGCTTTATCTGTCTCAAAAAAATGGTAAAAAATCCATTTGGGTACAGTGTTGCATGACCGCGCAATTGTCATTCAAAGTGTGATAGCGCTGAAAGCTGAAAATTGCCCTGGTCAGGAAGGGGGTAAAAAAAGTGTCCGGTCTGGAAGTGGTTAAGGGACCTTCCAACGTGCTATACACCTGAGTGTCATACCTGAGCCGTGACCCGTATGCATAGAGGATCCTGACCCTACTGATGACTCCGCACACACCTGATGAGACGGGCATATCTCTCAGGCGTATTATTTACGCACCTCTGGTGAGTGCGCAATCTATTTACTTTTGTGTTATCACTTCGGATCAAGTCCCCCACGTTTATACTTCACGATCACATTTGTTCTTCATGTGGACTTTCTGTCATCTTTGGGACTTTCATCATATTATTGTTGCTAACAGTAACAGGAACTTTGCATTTATTTGATTTGATTTTAGCGCTGCACTTTTCTGCCTCGTAAGCTTTTCATCTGACTTTTTATTAAAATATAAACCTTTGATACAGCATTAAAACTAAATGTTACTGTTTTTTTTGTGCACGACAGAATAGTTGCATCTGAAAACCAGCAGATTGGCTTTTCATGATCTGACACATGTTGGTGCATGCAGAACAGACCCAGATCCCTTTATAATGAACATAAACTCCAAGTACATCCAGGAGACAAGGTCACAAACTTCAAAGAAGGGCGTTTGTGTGACTGTTGAAATGCATTACAGAATTCACTTAACCCTTTGAGGACCGTAAGATTTTGGAACACCAAAAGAATCATTTTTTTGTTTTTAAAGTTCGTACACTTCAGTTGCTGTAACTAAGCCATTTCATGAAATAATTGGCAAAAAGCTAGATCCATTTGTTGTTTGTTGATAAGAACTAATATTTTGACTCAAACCCCAAAAAAAAAGAAGAGTTTTAAGTTCTTAATCAGATGATACAGGCAAATTAAAAACATGGGACAAATACGTCCCTTGGTCCTCAAAGGGTGCAGCAGTGCACTAGGGCATGAAGTGTACTGCACATCAAACTTTCACTAATTGCTTTCTGCCTATCATCTCATTCAAATGATGGACTACTATAATGAATCTATCCCTCTCTGACAGCATGTTCGACTGGCTCATGAATTTTTTGGAGTTTGTGAAACAAGACGACCGCTTTGAAATCTGCGCACAAGTTGTTTTGGGTCTTGTATGCTTTCGTTTAAAGGTAAAGAGTTGATTTCTTTTTTTTTTTTTTAAATCATGGACATTGCTGTTTCTAATAATATACTCAAGCCCCATTGAACGCAATAAAATGTGTTATTGTTAAAGAGATGGATTTACTAGTTTGTAGAGGAAACATTCTTTATTCCTGAAGTAAGCATCCCGGGGGAATGCTGCTGCACCACTCTGGCATTAATCCCTCTTGTTCGCGTATTGCACCGACTTCATGAAGCACTTGCGGCACTTTTTAATCTGACAGCAACTCATGCACCAAATTCATATTGTTCTAAACTATGCCACTTTTATGTTGTGTTGCATTGAATGCGCCAACTGTAGAAGTGGATCTAATTAATACCAACTCTCTTTCGGTGTACAGAAAGAAAAACTGGCTCAGACAGATTTTTTGCGAAAGTGTCTCACTTGCATTCTGGAAGTGGTACAGCATGAGCCAAATTCAAGTACAAACACAAGAAAAAAATCATTACCAGAGCTCTGAGAGCCACTGAAGACTAAAGACCACAATGATGTATAATGATGTATGATGGACCATGAACTCCCGCCAGAAATGTACAGTTGATGCAGCTCTCCTCAGATGGGGGAATCTTGCGAAGACTACAAAAAAACAAACAGGAGGGCGTAAACGCCTAGTGCATTACCAATGATTTATTTTTCATACAACATGTAAAATCGGTACTCACAGAAGTGAAGAATAAAATCGCATAAAATGCCACAGCGTAGGGAATGGCGAACAACCATGCACCCTGCTGTACTAGCACTCTGCCGTGTTTTGGAGGCATACCACAAGCTCTGAGGAAGAAGGTATGCCTCCAAAATGTTCAGTTCCCTAGTCCAGCAGGGTGCATGGTTTTTAAATTGTAGCAGCGGGTGCAGGAGAGGATCCCCCCACCAGCTTCCACAGGGAGGGGGGATCAGGGGGAGAGGAGTTAGGAGTTGGAGCATGTTACATGGTCCACCCTAAATATAGGTAACATGTTCCAAATGTGAACTTTGCCTTTAATGTAAGGATCTGTTAGGTGGCATTTTTAAATTCAATACTTGCAATAGTTACAGTAATTGCAAAACACAGTCATATACAAATATCAGGTAATAAACGTCAATTTCCTGGGAGGACGAAACATGTGAAGTCAGCAGACTTCCTTTCAGAATTGTCAACTAAAGCCTAGTACACAGGGAGAGAAAATCGGATGCAAAAATACTGCTTTCAGAGCGATCGTTCTATAATCTGATTGTTGGTGCACAGCTTTTGAGAGCCGATCACAGCGGTTTGTGAGAAACTATCCAAAGGGACAAGCACGAAAATTCTGTCATGCGAGAATTTTTTTTAACTTTAGTAACCACTTCATTTTCAATATGAGATTAGCCCGCAATAAAAAAAAAAAAACCAAAAAGGGATAATCATGAGTCTGATATTTTCATTGTGTGTACGAAGCTTAAGTCTCCCTTTCTCATAAGGCCATATATGAAAACAATTTGGACACTGTGCTGTGGTGTAGAAACTGCATTTGTGCATTGTTCCCTCAGTATTGATATCATCAGATGCCAGTTAGGGACCATTGGGTAGGTTGAGGACTTTGTCTAATCCCACTCCTAGAGAGTGCTGGAATCAAATTGGCCCACCCTACATTTTTTTTTTTTACTCTTAAATTTAATGTCACTCCAGAAAAGTACTAGATCGACTTCTAGATAAGCCAGACAAACATGAAACTGCATTAAATCACCCACCCAAATTGGGAAAGAAATTGACTAGAATGCTGTCATCACAAATTAGTGGATGTCCAAAGGAAACTTCATCAAACCAAGAGGGACTATACCCAAACCTCCCAACTTTCTGAGATGAGAAAGAGGCACACCATAGCAAAAGTAAACATAGGACACACTACAGCCACTCACCTTTACAAGGAAAGTTAATACACAAAAAAAGGACTGGATAAACCCACAAGTGCTTTTTGAAATATACCAATGCAACAAGTTGGAAAAGTTTTACCCCTGTAAAACACTTTTTGATAGATAAATCATGCATTTTTTTAATACAGGTATATACTTCAGACTAAAATGAGGGACAAATGAGGAAGGAGGGACAGAGGAACTTTGTTGAAGGACTGTCCCTCAAAATCTGGGACAGTTGGAAGCTATATAAACCCACTACTTTCACATTCACTCTATATACTTAGCACTAATTACATTCTTACCTTCTCTTCTTCATGCATCCCTTCATTTATAAAAGCAATAATGATAGAAGTACCATGGTTACACCATTTACCAGTAGTCACACTTTTATCAAATTTCAGGAGACAGGGCACCTTCTTCTCATAGAGACTCAATGAGGTTCTCCTAGGTAATCCTTCAATATGCCTTGATACGTAATATCATTTAATTAAATGTATTGATTCAAGTATTCCCTGTGAAATTTTCCCTCATGGGAGCTTTAAAAAAAAAAAAAGGCTAAATTATTTAAACAAACAAAAAAACAAAATCTTAATGATTAAAATATATTTAGCTAGTCTGTAACCTAATATATGCCTTGCACCTGCTTGTCCAAGGTCCAAGTACTGCTTCAGCTTTGAAGAGGGAGATGCACCCTGAAAGCTTGTCCTGAAAATGTGGATGTTGGTGCAAAAAAAGTATCATGGACAGAATTCAATTGTTCCTTCCTTACAAAAAAAAAAAGCTAAAATAAGCCTCTGATGGACAAAATGGTATACCAAGCTGTAATTAAAGAAATACACTCATGTTATTCTAATCTCCATACAACTCCTCACTAGATCCAAACCAACAACATGGAAACATTTTTGAAGACCTCCTAATTCCATTTCTCTCACCTACTCAGACCTCCTAACTCCATCTCTCTCACCTACTCAGACCTCCTAATTCCATCTCTCTCACCTACTCAGACCTCCTAACTCCATCTCTCTCACCTACTCAGACCTCCTAATTCCATCTCTCTCACCTACTCAGACCTCCTAACTCCATCTCTCTCACCTACTCAGACCTCCTAACTTCATCTCTCTCACCTACTCAGACCTCCTAATTCCATCTCTCTCACCTACTCAGACCTCCTAACTCCATCTCTCTCACCTACTCAGACCTCCTAATTCCATCTCTCTCACCTACTCAGACCTCCTAACTCCATCTCTCTCACCTACTCAGACCTCCTAACTCCATCTCTCTCACCTACTCAGACCTCCTAATTCCATCTCTCTCACCTACTCAGACCTCCTAACTCCATCTCTCTCACCTACTCAGACCTCCTAATTCCATCTCTCTCACCTACTCAGACCTCCTAACTCCATCTCTCTCACCTACTCAGACCTCCTAATTCCATCTCTCTCACCTACTCAGACCTCCTAACTCCATCTCTCTCACCTACTCAGACCTCCTAATTCCATCTCTCTCACCTACTCAGACCTCCTAACTCCATCTCTCTCACCTACTCAGACCTCCTAACTCCATCTCTCTCACCTACTCAGACCTCCTAATTCCATCTCTCTCACCTACTCAGACCTCCTAACTCCATCTCTCTCACCTACTCAGACCTCCTAATTCCATTTCTCTCTCACCTACTCAGACCTCCTAACTCCATCTCTCTCACCTACTCAGACCTCCTAATTCCATCTCTCTCACCTACTCAGACCTCCTAATTCCATCTCTCTCACCTACTCAGACCTCCTAACTCCAACTCTCTCACCTACTCAGACCTCCTAACTCCATCTCTCTCACCTACTCAGACCTCCTAATTCCATCTCTCTCACCTACTCAGACCTCCTAACTCCATCTCTCTCACCTACTCAGACCTCCTAATTCCATCTCTCTCACCTACTCAGACCTCCTAACTCCATCTCTCTCACCTACTCAGACCTCCTAATTCCATCTCTCTCACCTACTCAGACCTCCTAATTCCATATCTCTTACCTACTCATAGACAGATTTGCCATCAAACAAATGGCAAAATAGCATGGGCACAAGGCAGAAGTGCTTTTTGTCATACCTACTATAGCCATAGAAATATTCTCTATATCCATTCATATGCACCCAAATATTTTAGGTCATTAGTGGGGACACCACACCATAAATGTGCTCTTTGAAGTTGATTTACATGGTTGGCCACTTTCCCAATTACAATACCACCCAATGTATTTAAGATTTTAAAGATGAACATGGAGGACTGGAATACCGTTCTATATGAACCAAACTGAATTCTGTACCAAACTTGCAAGATGGGGGGGGGGGGGGGGGGGTAATTGCATTTTCAGAAAAAAAAACCGGATTGAAAAAAAAATTCTCACCTTGCAGAAAATAAACCCAGATGCATGTCAGGCACTTTTAAATTTGAAAGAGTCTCAAACAATACCCATTTCATCCATTGAAGAAGGGCTTTGAAGTTCAGAGAATTGCGTGTGATCGTGTTTATTTATTTTATTCCAGTGTGATTATGACCAGACTTCTTCCCACTTAGTCAATTTGATGCCCCAGTTATCATAGTTATGATGTTGCCAGTTGCTGAATACATTAATATGCCCCATACAAAGGGTTACACGGGATGCTACTGTGTTGACTAAGAGGGAACTGATTTTCTTTGTGTTTGTGCCACATTTCAGACTGCTCCCCTGCTGTGGTGAAAAGCAGCTGTGAACTGAGTTTTCAGATGCTCTCCAAAACCACTTAATATTTACACTGTACACAAGGACTGCATGTAGCGAAATTAAGATATTTAATCATGGGAAAACACCTGCTTTCAGCAAAAAGAAAACATGTCTGATTTCAGCTTACATTTGTACAATATAGCCATTATTGATAGAGATTTTTTTTCATATTTACAGACTCTCTTGGTACCTTTTTGATAGAGTGTTTACAGAGCTTAGAAATACGAGGTGTAATTAATAAATATATATATATATATATATATATATATATATATATATAGTGGGGATCGAAAGTTTGGGCACCCCAGCTAAGAATTTGTATTAATGTGCATAAAGAAGCCAA